GGGGGGGGATGGGGACAGGGACCTGCCTCCTGACTCACCTGGCCCCAGACAGGATCCAGGGTCACACACTGCATCTTTAGTTGCTGGCACAGACCATCACAGCACATTTTCTTCTCTTCAGCTCCTTCAAATCATGCATTTTGTCCATAACCCCACCTATTTTTATATTAATTTTATGGGGATTTTTTTTCCGGGTATTGTTGAACCTTGTTTCAGATAATCTGTGGGTAAAATAAACATTTCCTGAAGATACATTTCCTTCCTTTGTGCTTCAGAAGAGGAAGAACACCTTGTCCTAAGCGGATATGGTGAAAGGTTTGGGTTGTTTCAGGGAGCTGAGCATCCTTTGGAGCTAAGCTCAGACCTTCATGTGTGACCTATCTGCTATTGTTAAGAGCAGACAAGAGAACTCTGGGCCATGTTCACCCTTTTAGGAGCAGAGTGGTCCATACCCAACATCTGCCTCCAAACTCCCTCCACTCACAGCCTCCTCTGCCTGGATCCACACCCACTTCTGCAGCAGATGTTGGTGAACATCCCCCACCTGCAGCAAAGAACAACCCAAAATCTCAGCCCTGCCAGCTCCTCTGACGCTGGGCTGTGTTTGATCCAGCCACTGACACCATGGTTATACTGGATTAACTGCAAGCTGAAGCCAGTGTGGTCCACTGGTACTCAGGGAAAAGAGTTGGTGATGAGAAGATAAGAATATGAGCTGCTGTGTTACAGCCAACATCTGACTCACACCAACAGCCAGAATTTTGGAGGAAGGGGGGAAAACTCCCCAGATATTCAGGCACTGCAAAAAACAAAAAAAACAAAGCCTGTTCCAGTCATCTGGGAGAGCCAGCCCAACCACAAAGACACAAAGGAAAAATTGGGAAAGGACCAGTTATGGCTTTTGTTTGTTCTTACCAGCATTTCTACACCCCATCTTCTTCATGATATTGTAGTTTATATGATATTTGTAGTGACAGGATAAGGGGGAAGTGTCCAAGGCCAGGTTGGAGCAACCTGGGCTGGTGGAAGGTGTCCCTGCCCATGGCAGGGGATGGAACAAGATGATATTTAAGGTCCCTTCCAACTGTGATATTTCTCCACTGTGGGAGCTGGCAAAGTGAATTGCAAAGCTCATCAACACACTGATATTTTCAGTACAGACAACAATAGAATAGCCATTTTCCATGGGTGAAGATGGATGAAAGAGTATTATTTAGAACTCCTTGAGTGCTAGGATTCAGACAGTTCATTTAGTAGTTTTTAGAGCTCTGCTGATGTTTTTCTTTGTGTTGATCAAAGGACAAGACTTGTTCTTGCCTATTATACAGACCTGAATCTTGCCTTTGGCAATTCCACTTCAGCTGGCTACACCTCAGTTTCCAAACTATACCAGGAGAACAAAGAGAGCTATTTACCTTCTTACACACCTGGGGCTAAGTGCTTTTTGACCATAACAGACATGAACTACTATTAGAAATCTGTCTTACAGACTATGTCCATAAATGCTTGAGAAGACAGGCTCAAAAGCAACATTTCAGGGATCAGAAACTAAATTCCTTGGAAGATCTATAAGAAAAGAATACAACAGGCACATTAATTATTTAGCAAAACTCAGCTGTCCATTAATGGCCACTTAGACGGTGTTTTGGCAGGAGATCCCATCTCCTGTCTCACTGCTGTATCCCTGCTTTGCTGTGGTGTGTTTGGGAGCCATTCCTCCTGCTCCTGTCACTGGGCTGAGGCTCTGCAGTTCCCTGGCTTGCTATGAGTGGTTTCTGTTACCATACCCACCCCTAGAGCCAGCCCCCAAAAAGCCTTCCATGGATGGTTGAACAGCAGAATGAAGTCATCAGCCCTGGGGAGAAAGGAGCTTTGGCAGATATTATTTTTTTTTTAGCTGTAAATCAGTGAAGCCTCATTTTACCAAAATGTGGGATAGAATCTTCATCTGCCTCGGCCAGCAGAGTTTCCTCAGGTGATGGAGATCAGCACCTGGCCCCTGCACACAGAAAGCTTGGAGAAGTGACATTCCACGCTCTTGGGTGCCGCCTGCAGGCTTTGGGACAGCAGCAAGAACGACTCCAAACCAATACTGAAGGTAGTCACTTGTGCAATGAAAAGGGGACTTATTACACTAAAATTCTAGAGAAATCAAGGATGGAAAATACGAGCATTTTTTGAATCAGTTTTTAGTAAGAAGAAGCTGAGATGGGCATTTTTTTTTCTCACAATGAGTCTTCACGATGATTTAAACCCAAAAAGTAAAATTCGATAAACAAGCCAGAGGGCCATAAACTCACACATATCAGCCAGGGAGGAAACAGGCACAGGAATATCCCCAGATGTTGCTCCCTCTAACACAACACTGTGCTTTGACGAGCCCTCACAGACTTACAGCCACATAAAATGCCTGTGAGGATACTCATTCCAGCCCCAAAAGATAGACCACATACGAAGACTTACGAAGTTGCCGTTATTTTCAAGTTCTTTTCTTCCTTTTTTCCCCCTCCATTCATTTTTGTAATGCTTCATGTTTCTTGAAATACAGAAGTGCAGAGGCTCTGGCTTCAGTGTCCCCAGAGCACCTCACTGGAGCTGTGACAACAGAGAAGGGACAGTGATGTGACCCCAAATTCCACCAGGGGTTAGAGCGACCTGCCCATGGCCAAGGGATCTCCTGGAGCTCTGACATTATCAGAGGCCCAGCCATCCATATTTTAATTCCTCGCAGTCCTCTGGGGCTGAGGCTGCTCCTGTCCCCCCTCCTGCTCCAGTCCCAGCACTCCCTCCCCTCGTCCCCTGCTCGAGGTACCGCTCCCCTCGTGATCACCCAGCTCCCAAAACACAGGCTGTTTGTTTGTGGAGCACATGGCACACCCAAGAACAGCTCAGAGGGGATGTGGGGGCCTCCCAGGATAAGCAAAAGCACTTTCTGATCTGCAGCTCTCTGGGGCAGCCTGAGCCTTGCTGGGCATGGGGGTTTGTCCTGGGCATGTGTGTGCAGGGCTGGAGGGAACTGAACCCCCTGCAACACTGAAAGGTCCATTCTCAGTGCTGAACCAGGTGACAAGTGGAGGGTAAAACAGAAGGGGAAGGAGTTGAAACAATTCCAATAGGGGAAAAATTAATTCACCTTTTCTGATGATAGACCCAGTGCTGTATTGACCTGTGGCATCATAGGCCATTAAAACCTAGCTTTCAAAATCCCATTTTCTTATAAGAAAAGAAGGTTGTCCTACACTCCCCTTCCCCTGGAAATGCATTTTCATTTCTATAAAGAACTGTAGATTTTGCTTCAAAATAGATCTAAAATTGTTTTCATGTTTTTGCCAGCTTGATTCAAACTGCAAGCACTGATTTGGTTTTAAAACTTATAGAATCACAATAAAGTCTGAAGGTTACTAGTTTACTCATTGTTTTGGTTTTTTTTTTTAACTTTGTAACCGGGGGTTATATTTCTTGCATAAATATAAAGGAAAAAGGAAAAGAACAAAAGGAGAGAATAACAGATCAGATGAACCAGAAACACAGAACTGATAAGTCTGGAAGAAGACTATATTAATTTTAAGTCCTTTTTTTCCCCAGAAAAAGTGAAGCCTTTTACTACTCTGAGAATTTTTCATGGCAATTGCTGCATTGTCCACCCAACTATATTCAACTTAAAAAAATAGCACTTCAAGAATACATTTTAACCATCACTCATAAAATACAGTCTTTTCTCCTTTTCAGTGCTTTCTCTCATATGTCAAAGTCTCTGCCAGAAGTTCAAGGCCCTTCTCATTGAAAAAGGAAGAAGAGAATGAGACAGAAGCGAGAGTGAGTTTAGGGGGGGATGGAAAAAGGAAGAGAGAGGAACAGCCCTGACACAGCAGAACTGGGAAGGGTTCAGTGTCCTGCTGAAAGTGTGCAGAGAGAGCCACAGAAATCCATCAGTTCCCAAAGGCCTGGCCAGGTGGGGCTCAGATGGGGTTTGCAGAGGAGGACACGGTGCTCTCCACACTGGTTTGGGATGCAGCTCTGACACACAGCACAGGGTCCCACAGAGCTCCTGCAGGCTCCAGCCAGGGGCCCAGACACTTCCTTTAGTGGCAGGGGAAATCTCCCTTTTCCCTCAGCTTGTGGGAGAGGATCAAATCCATCTCCTAGTCTCTAGCTCCTTTCAAACACCAGATTATCCCCATGCAATGCAACCTGAAGTCCTCCACTCTGACCAGTCCCATTCCTTCAGCCGCTTGGGTTTATTCTCTGGAGTTTGTATCCTGGAGTCCCAGCAGCAGCAAAAACAGCTGCCAAAATCCTGGGAATATCTGCCTTGGAATCTCAACTACTGTGTGAAGCTGCTGCTCTCCAGTTTGAGATTTGTGTTTGCAAAGGAAATCTGTCCAACAACAACATCGAGAGAGGAAAAAAGGAGGAAAAAGGGCTTTATATAACAGAATTAACAGAGTTGTTGCAATACTAACGTGTAGTTAACAGGCAACTTTTCCTCCTCCTTCTCTGCCCTCACCCCAACCTCCTCCTCTAACAGCAATTTCATTTGTTTTTGTTTCCAAGCTTCTTTTACTGGCCACTCACACAGACCCGCTCCCTTTGTCTAATTTGGATCTCGAACTTCCATGCAACAGACTCTTGCTGTAACTGTAAATCTTTTTATGGCCCTTCTGCCTCTGAACTGTAAAAGCAATGCCACTGTAAGCTGCCTAAATGGGTCATAAATCCACTTAGTGCATTGAATGAGGAGAAAAGTTTTTAAGGGAAAGAAGGAAAAAAAAAAAAAAAAGGCAAACTAAGGTGGCTGGAGGGACACAAGGGAAAAAAACCCCAAGAATGTATTTGCTAAACAGACCCAAAATAACAGGAGTCAAAGGGAAAATATGAATTTTTTTGGGGGGGGTGTAAAGGATGAAATAATGCATCTTGGTGGTAAAACCAAACTGCTTCTGCAGGGCTGTGCAGTTCATTAACACTCAGCGATTTACGGGAGGACGCTGCTTGCCCTCTCCACTCCTGTTGGCACCAGCAGGATCTGGTAGCACCAGGAGAGGTTGGGAGACTGCTAGCAGCTAATTGACTCTCTTTTTCCACTGGGTGGTCCAAGGACTGGTATCTGGGTCTAATTCCAGCTCTTCTGCACTGCCTGACTCGCAGGTTTAGTCCTGGCTCCGTGTCTCAGTTTCTTCCATTCTGTAAATGGGAGATAAAGATATTCCCCTTATTTGTAAAGTGTTTTGAGAGCAGCTTAAATGCCATCAGGGAGGGGCAGAACTGATTCCTGTGGCAGTCAATAGCAACAGTTTAATTTGTTTCTCTGGAAGCCCAAAATGGGCCACTTTTGTCTATGTAATTTATTGCATTTGTCACCATGGTATCTGAGCTCCAAGAGTATTATCCAAATTCCACTGAATTCACTGAGTGTCTTTCCACTGCTTTCAATAAGTTTTGGATTTCACCCTAAAGTCACAAAAAAAAAACCCCAAAACACCCAAACCCAAACCTGAGGAATATGTCAAAAGAATGTAAGTGGGTGTGAGTTGAAATTGAGGAGTTTGGAGACGGGAGTATGCAGAACAGTAGCTATTTAAAGACCAGGTTTGCTACTGAGTGTTCCCTTTTAATGGGGTTATATAAATACATTCCCGTCTCGGTGCATGTGGAAAAACAGGCAGCGAGGTGAGACTCTGCTGCTTTATTTCTTATGGGAAACACTGTGCACAGCTAAAGCACCTCTTCCCCCTTCCTCAGCCACCACCCACAGTCCCTGGGAGCCTTCAGCAGCTGTGCACAGTGTGGAGAGGCACAGCCAGGAGCACTGAGAGTTAAAGAGTTCACAGCCCTGCCCTTGAAATAAAGCCCCTGTTTTCACTGCGTTCTCACTTCCCTTACAGACTCCATCTGAGCTCTGGCACTCAGCATCTCAGAATGGGAGACTGCTTATGCCTTTTTATTATTATTATTATTATTATTATTTTACTGGTCTGCTCCCTTGCAAGGAAAAGGGAAGAGAAGAAAAATGTTCTTGCTTGGCTCTCTGCAAAGACCAAACGAGTTCCAGTGCAGCTGCCCTGGGCCAGGTGTGCCCCCACAGAAACCACAGCCCAAGGGGGCACCACTTGGCATCTCAAATCCCTTTCTCAGGACAAAAAGCCAGTGGCCAAAGAGGACTGCAAGATGAACCCTCTCTTTTTCACCAGTACCCCTTGTACAGTGCACTGACCAATAGCTCAGTTCAGGAGATTCTGAGACTATAACTTTAAAGAATCCTATTAAAATGATGGAAATCTTTGACTATGAAAAGTGGGGTCTGCACCTGGATAGTAATTATGTTTCAAAGGAAATCCATCTGGTATTTTATTGCTTATTGTCTCCATGCACTTTCTGTATAAGAACAATACAGGGGCTGGAATATTTCTTATCAGGAGACTTCCAAAAAGCTGTTTGCACTCTGTCAGACCAATAAGCCACATAGATTTTTGCAATATTATATCAATTATGGGTAATAACTGGAACATACACTTTTTAAAAAACCTTCTTAAAAACACTGGTATGGATACTTGGAGCAGGCAAACTCCACCAGACTCTGTGGAGCTCATATGTCCAAAAAACAGTTAAATCTTTGGTGTCTGGAAAGTTTTACAACTACAGGTAAAGTCAAGGGAAGCTTATTTTTGCCACCACCAGAGCCAGAGCAATGTGCTGCCCTGAGGATTGAATCCTGTCTGCAGGCACAGGCTGGGGAGTGGGACCCAGATGTCCCAGGGTGCAGCACAGGGCAGTTCTGGGGAATCCTCTGGCCAGGGGAGAAGCAGCTCCAAGGCAAAGACTCGTGACCATGTGTTCACAACATCAGCCTTGAGCTGGGTTAGGCCTGTCCCTGTGCAAACAACCATTTTAGATTATAAAGAGAACATTTTAAAAAGAAAACTATAAAGTCTACCAGAGTTGGGTACCACCTTTAAAGATGCTGGGAATGCAACAACAGACTTAAAATAAAATTACATCCAGCCACAGCAACTTGATGACAAGGCAACCTCTCCTTCATTGCCAGCTCAAGTGATTTTGTTAATTCTAGTGAATATATCACAGGTCTCAAGATGACTGATGCTTTCATTACTGCCTTGGCTTCAGCCATTAGGTGATTGTTATGAATCTCAACTTTCATTTTTTTAAAGTTTTAGCTGTCACCATTCAAAGACATGGTATTAAAAATAAACAATGAAAACTTAAAAGTAAGAAAGAGGGGAAAATGTAAGGTAATCCCTATGGAAAAGCAGCAGACAAATTAAAAAATGGTATTATAGTAATTATTTCTTACCTATCTTGAACTTTTAGTGGTGATGTTTGATGGCTAGAGCAGAGGTTACTGGCTGGCTGACAGCAGCATGGTTACTGTAAATGAGACCCATGCAACAGAAACTGGCTATGATCTACATTTGCTCTAAATTTGTGCAACCTCTAGTACAGAACCAGGAAAAAGTCACAGATTTAATTTACTTTTCACTTCTGATGCTCTCTGCATATTGTGGGGGATATGGTTTTGGCAAGGAGTTTGCATTTATTAGCACGTATAAATTTACCAGGAATGTTTGGTCTTGCTGTTAAAGCTCAGATCTAGAAGACAGGAATATGTCAGAAGCTGAGTGTCATTTTTAAAAGCAAGCTTCAAACCCATGTATTTTTGTTTAAATACTTCACAAGTAAACCAACTGCACCTAAAACAGTTGATAAGGCAGAAAAAAGACATGACCTGAAATATTCTTTTTAAAAACTTATTTAATTATTTCTGAGACTTGGAAACCTTATTCATGATTTCTATATATTTGGAATTGGAAATACTGCTGGTAACTGCTCGGCATTGTTTCACATGCCATCACCCAGATGCAAGTACAGATTTCTTTCTCCCAAACCAGACTGGAGAGAGCAGATTCACTGAAACAACTTGCAGGGTCACACTTCAGCAGCTCAGGGTCACCAGAGGATGCTGGCACTCGGTCTCCCACCCACTCCTGCCAGGCAAACACCACTGCAGGCACTGCAAGAGCGATCATCCCAGGGCACTGGGGTGTGGGGGGGACATTCAGGGAGGAGATTTTGCCAGGAACAGCCCTGTGTGACCCTGGCTGACACAGAGAAGCCCAAGCTCCACAGGAGAATGACATGCCAGAGATCTGGACCTCGACCCCCTCTACTGGAACTCGCAGCTGTGACGTGGAGGAAGCAGCATTGCTAAGGCACAAAGCACTGGCAAAGGGGGAATTACAGTAACCCGGTCCAGAGCATCACCACAGCCCACGGGGGAGCTGGTTTGGGCTCACCTGAGGACAGCTGCTGTGTCTGATGAGCAACACGTTGTGCAGAGATCCTGGCTCAGGAGCTCGGGCCAAAATAGGGTGAAGAAGCTCTTCCACTTGTGAGGTGGCTCCTCCTCAGATCATCTCGATGAGTCACAGCTGTTATTTCTGAAATTTTCAAAAAGATATTCAGAAGTGTTACAGTTCAGAAAAGGCCTTTTATTCTTTCCTTAAGCAGGTATAAAAAACAAAAGAGATTTGGATGGAAGTTTGTGCCTAGCTCTGAACTGCTTCTTTATTTCTGCTTGCTTTGCTTTACTTCTCTTGCCAACGAGATGAAGAGAACAATTTATCGTGGGGTCAGCCTCAACTTTTTGTTCCTGGCAGTTTATTTTGCATCAGGTTCCTAAATTCACATACACAAACTCGAGCAACTATTTACATCCACACATAACCTACCATGCCATTAAAGAGAAGAAGCCTCCTCTCAGCCTGAGGAGAACCTGCAGTCGGCAAACTCCTTCCCCTTTGACTCCTCCTGTGGGGGAGAAGGGAGAAATGCAATCAGGTGCAGAATTCCAATCCATCCCTCTGGGGTGACAGACATCCAATTTCCAAGCAACCATTAAAAAGTCCATATGGAATTCCATCTTTAATATGAAGCAAAAAGAAACAGGAAGACCCAAGGGTGAACACATGCTGTGTGTTACTCCTGCCCGGGGGCTTGGGCAGTGTCTGAGCCTTTCCAGGGGCTCTCTTCTCCACAGAGTGTGAGCTGTGGGAAGGTTCAGCACACTTGGGGTGCTCTTACACTTTATTATTATTATTATTTTAACTAAGAAACTGGCTACTCTGTCCATTTGAGAAGGGTATGGCTTTGAGACAGATGTGGAAATATTCCGCAAACACAACGGTCAGGCAGTGGAACACATCCAGGATTATATGAAACATTAAGCGAGTGGAAAACATTTATTTTCCCGTTTCATATTCCACCACAGACTTGTATTTCACAAGCTTATCTTCATATCTGCATTATAACTGAACACTAATTGTGTTTTCCTCCATATTTTTTCAGTAGATCAAAAACGTTCCAGTCTGGAGTCTCCACATTCACACCACAAAAAGTTGTTTTCTGCACCTCTGGCACCAGCTGAGCAGGCAGGAGCCAGCAGTGCCAGAGACACTGAGGGAGTGCAGGACCACGGGCCCTGGAAATGAAGATGAAATGAGGCTCACTTGTGTGCAGCACATTGATAAGATTTTGGCCCCCATTTCAGCGTGACCCAATAGGTTTAAATTGCTTCATTTCTCAGCCAGCCAAGAGCAAATGGGTGGTAGATGTGATATGGCTGTTCACTGGAAATCACCCTTGATTGATTTACCTTCTCCTCCCCGGCAGTGCACGGGCTCAGTGTGAGGCTCAGGCACATAAATTACCCAGAAAAGCCCTTTCGTGGTTGTGTGTAGTCTGTACATGTTGTCACCCTATCAGAGGAGAAGCTTTTATGAAGTATTAGCTCTAAGTGTATACAGAACAGAAATGATCATTTTTATTTGCTTGACAAAAGCTAAGTCACATTTCCAAGTAATAATTCTGAGTTAGAATCAAGTAGAACCAAGTAACTTTGATCATTCCTTTTAAGTAAAAAAACAAACAAACAGAAAATGCTGCTGCTGGTTATAAAAACAACAGCAGAATTTTTAGGAGTTATTTTATTTGTTTTTTTAAAAAACTAATAAGAGCTGTGAAATTCAAAAAAGAGTTTTCAGTTTTCATTAGCAGGATTTCAACACTTTGTGTTTGCTTTTGCCTTTTTGAAAGAAGATACAAAGACATTTCATTTTAACATGTTTGCAGAAAAAAAAAATTAATTGCTACCAGCACTACTACATTGTTATTTCTGGGGGATGAGTAACAATAGATTGGAAAATTATTCAGAAGAATCATTTGGGTGATTTATATACTTTATTGTGATTGGAACAAGGACCTCATTTCAGGCTGTAATACTCACAGTGCTGTCCACAGATGGGTGTAGTGTTGAGAACAGTCACTGGAACCCAAATTGAAAAGAACTGAGATAAAACCTGGGAATAAATTTGTCTGGGGTTTGTACAGCACAGGGAGCAGGGTCCTGACTCCAGCCTGCATTTCCCAAGGGACACAGCCCTGGCAGTCCCACAAATACACAACAAACCGGTCCCAGAGCAGGTCTCTGCTCCAGCCTGGCTGGAATGCACAGCACAATCTGGCTTTGGGGGGAAGAGGCTGTGAGAGCAAAAGGGAGGAAAGGATTCTGCAGGCCTGTGCTGAAGATTCATTAAAATCAGGCTTTAGATCAGGTAAACTTGGACAACCACACAAGGTGAGATCTTTAGATTACCTCTTTATCCCAGTTTTTAGGACACGCAGAGTCCACCCCCCTCTAAGTAATATGCCTCAAATATCTATGTAATGTGTCTCTCATTCCCATCCTTAAGCTCAAAACTTCAAAACTACCCCAAGTGAGACGACTTGTTTTTTAACTTACCCAAGCCAGCTGAAGGCAATAGAGACCCCCCTTCCCCACCAAGGTCAGTGAAGATTTACAAGATTCAGATCTATTTTAACATTGTAATGTCCCTTCTGCTCTGAAATCAGCCATGGTTCTCTGGTTACTGTAAATAGTGCAGAACTGCTGGCTGCAGAAACCCTGGAGGAAGTCAGAACACGTGATAATGAACAGTTCCCAGCAAACTTCCACTCTTCATATCAGTTTGGCAAAGTAGGGAAATTAATATATTGTAAGCCTAAAATATCACAAATACAATACAAACTCCTGCAGCATAAACTCCACCCTGCAGACCAGTGCCAGCAATCCCTGCCAGTCTCTCAGGATCCCAACCCACCAAAGCCATGCCAGGCAAAGCTCACCTGCCGTGAACCTCAGGGCATGGCCAGCTCAGCACAGCCTGGTTACACCCGGCAGGGGTGATGGGGGGTCCCAGCTCCCTCCCCTTGTGCCCCTTCCCCCTGTCCAGGCATTCTTCATCAGCTGCTAAAGCTCTCCCAGCCATCCAGCTGGGTGACAGCAGGGACAGCAGGGAGGCTGGAGGAGGGAGTCAGGAGGGGCATAATTAACGAGACAATGGGATGGGTTATGCCTCTCTGATTTCAATTAACCTCTGAACTTTGCAGTGCCAGGATCTCATGGTTACCAACTAACTTCAGCACAAACCAGCCGTGGGCACTGGTTAATGCCAGGACTCAAACAGCCCGGAGCTGGGACTGGAGTAACTGTGGATCTGATTATTGTAGCAGAGCTGGAGTCTGACTTGTCCCTATTTTGAATAAATTGCAGAATTCATTAATGGGAGGAGAACAAAGTCAAAAGACCCAGAGAAATATATTAATGGCATTAAGGACACAGGCATTCAAAGACTGCAAAACAGATTAATGTATACAGATTGATAAATAAAAAGAAATCTTTGTTCAGGAAAGACTGAGAGAAGCACAGAGCTGACATCAGAGAACAAACCAATCTAGATATGTTAAGAATAGAGCTTTCCATTATTTACTCATGTATTTTAGAGAGCACTTTTTAGTTTTAAAATCAGCCCAGTTTTAGAGTTTCAATACAAGAGGTTCTATTAAAACCCTGTATGAACTACAAGGATTTCTAGCTTACAATAAAGATACAATTAAAAATTAATATCAATCAAAAGAATGCAAATTTTTAAATAAACATATTTTGAATTATTCTACCTTTTAAATTCAGAAACTAGAGAGGCAAATCCGGGTTTTGCTGGCCTTCATTTTCAATATAATTTTTTCACTTCAAATTTTGACCATTTCTGTTTAGTAGATTTAAGCAGATTTAATTCTGCTATCACTTCAGGGCTGCAGTGGGTACAAGATAACTGTTACCACTTTGTGTGTTGGCTTAAATGCATTTGTTCTTAATATTTAAGAAACTATAAATTAGAACAAAATCTGAATTTATGACAGCAGACCCTGCATTTTCATGTAGCTGCAGCTGCAGCATCAGGTCTGGGACACACTGAAGGGTGGTGAAACAAAACCAAAGGCTCCAAAGCAAAAAAATACCAGGAAATGTGATCGGACTCATAGCATTTCAATCACGTGTTATCCTACAAGTCATTTCAAGACAATCTGAAAACAAAATCAATGTTGCTGATATGGATAATAAACCTCTCTTTACAAATGCATTAATAAAAGTATCAGTTTAAAAAGGAAAAATGCAGTAAGATTACAAATTTATTAAACAAAATCCGTTGACTGAACAGTGCAGACTATTGTCAGCCACTTCTAGGACTTTGTTATGCAGTTCTTCATAGCTTAAATAGCACAATTAATCAAACTAATTGCAAGCCTGCAAATTCTTTATTCATAACAGTAAATAACTACATCTATTAAGTAACTTCTTTAATGTAAATCTCACTATTTAGGCTGATATTATCATGATTTTTTCTTCTAATGGATTTAAAGTACCTGCAGTAAATGAGAGCCAAAGTCAAAGCTTTTTTAAAGCAAAATATCCCACTTTTAATATTTAAGAAATTCCATTTAGACACTTGAAGATGCTCAGGTTACAGCAGACTGTGGGAATGCCCTTCAGTTCCTTACACATTACCTGTCTAATAAAGCCTCATGTCCCAGTGACAGAAGCATCTGGCTCTTCTCTCCTAATCAATAAAATTCAGCAAAAGTCCCTTCTTCCAGCAGCAGCATAAATTATCAGATAAATGCAAATAGACTTACTAATGTTAATTGCCAGGGCTGATTGGTGATTAATTTTTTGATTATGATCAATCATTCCACACGAATTTTAATAAGACATTCAAGGCAATCTGCAAATTGATAATAATTAGGGCTCCCAACTAGCAACGCACCCACAGCCAGCTCTCACACATCCCTGTGACTGTTCCTGGAACAACATTCCAGTCTGGAAAAGGGGATGGTCAAAGCCTCCACAGCATACCTAACAAAGCTCCTTTTTTGCCATTTTAAGGTAGGATGGGTATGGTGTTCTCTAACACAACTGGCTACCTTCTTTGTGTCCCTCAGATGGTCAGAAATGAAATAGGAGTTTCATTTATGTGACAGTGCTTTGGGAACATTACCCCAATCTGCAGACTTCCAGCCATGAAAACGAGCCC